AGTGCAACAATGAATGAGTGGAAGCCCAAACTCTCTGTAAATGTTTATGAAAATTAATAAAATATAATTATAGAAAAAAAATAAAAAAAAATACATGATTTGCCAAAGCCCAATTTGTGCTACTGAGATTCTGTGAGTTCCTTAAATGTATTCACATCCTCTGCAACGGCAGAAAATGATTATGATACAGAGTATGCCGGAGACAAGGAAATTCTTGCCAGCAGGTTCTTAAAAATCACAAGATCTGTTCACCCCGCCCACCCCACCCCAGCCCCCAAAAAGTAATAATATGTCACCACTGGTATGTACATTACAATTAAGTTTCTGTAAAATGTATCAAATTTTCAATCTTTAATAAAACTTTTGTTTTTTTATTTTTTAATCATTATTCCTGATGAATAAATACCAAAAATAATAAAATAAAATAATGCAGTAGCTGGTTTAGGTGTAAGGCTGCGGATATTGTGTGTCTCTTCCCCTTGGTATTTTATTATTGATTTGTTTTATTAATGTATCTTTTTCTTTTTTGCTTGACTTTCACAGATTGGTGGTAATGAGTGATTGCTTAAAGCAATATCCATCCACTTTGTTGTTGTTGTTGTTCGTTTATTGGTTGGTTGGTTGGTTTTCAAAACAGTCTCCACAGCTCTTCATGGAAACATTTTTGGATCACATCGATATTGGGACGTGGAGCGTGATTGGAAGAGACGGCCAGGCTCCGGCCAGCACTGGAAGTTGACTTTGGGGGGAGGAAGGGGGTCCCTGATGGAGTAAGAATAAACAGGCACTAGTCCGACACAATGTCAGTAAGAGAGAGAGAGAGAGAAAGAGAGAGAGCGAGCGCGCGAGCTACGCCCGTTTAAATGGGGAATGTGGTTTCGCAGGGTCTGAACTTTTTTCGGTTTTCTTTTTTTTTTTTTTGTAAATGGCAAAAAAATTTAATCTCATCTATAGTCCTCCTTAGGAAAATCTAATGTAACCAAATTCCCAAATCCCATTCTGAGACTCTCCATGTCAAAAGTCTCGATCTCTCTCTCCTGCCTTTCTAACAGGTACTTGATTCTCTCGCTGCGTTCTTTCTGAAGGGCCGCCAGCTCTTCTTCAATCTTCTGCTCCAAGTGTGCTCTGCGCAGAGACACCCTCTGCTCCAGCTTCTGGAGCTCGCGCTCGTGTTGTGCCTCGGTTTGCATCTTGATTTTGCTCTGGTAGGCGTTGAGCAGCTCCATTTCCTGCTGGAGCTGTAGCCTCAAGGCCTGGCATTCTGCTTCTTCAGCCTCGTTGAGCCATAACGCTTGAGAGACCGTCATTTCATTTATATTCTGTTCATACTGCTCTGCCAAAATTGCAAGTTTTCTCGTCTGCTCGTCTTTCAAAGTCTTTAAGAGTGTTTTGTGCTCATTCTTTGGAGTAACTTCCAACTGGTGATTCTTGAGTGCTTTATACTGCTTGGTCTGTACTTTGCAAGTGTCCTGAAACTGTTTTTTATTTGCATTTCCATGGCCTTTAAGTTTTTTGGCTGTTGCCGGAGTTCCATGACATGCTTTCTGTGCAGTTCCCTTTCTTGCCGCTTGTTGTATTCGAACTGGTTCTCCAGTTCGGTCTGGTGCTGAAGACGGATCAGGTCCATGCGAAGCTTCTGTAACGTGTGCAGCTGCCGGTATTCCAGCTCTCGGGTGGACTCGTCGTGCCGGATCAGCATGGCGTGCTCCATCTCCTTCTGTGTCCTCTTTCTATTTAGTTCCTCCCGAATGTTTTGCTGCTCCACCTCGTGCCGCTTGATCATTATTTTCCGCTTGAAGAAACGACAGTTTTTGTCGTTGTACAGTCTCTGCTGAGTCAGGAGGTGGGCTTCCTCTTCGGCCTGTGTGTGCTGCAAGTTCTTTTTATGCTTGGATATCCGCTCCTGCTTCTCCTTCTTGGGTGTGCTATGATCCTCATTCATTTCCTCCTTTATCTTTTCCTTACAAATCTTATACTGCTTCTTCTGACTCTCTAAGAAAGTTGCCAAGTCCTTCTTCTGCTGGGCCAAGATCTGTTGCTGGAACTTCTCATCTGTTGCAGCTACCTTTGCCTCTTTTTCTATGATAGCCACTTGTTTCTTGGCCAGCTTCTCCAGCTCGATGGACGAGTTGTTGGCATGCGTCTCCACCTCCTTCTGGAGCTTGAGGCGGTGCTCGTCCATCTCAGCCTTCAGCTTGTTCTCCAGGGCGATCAGCTGCTTCTGGTGCTGGCGCCGCATCAGCTTATAACCTGACATCTGTTCTCGCAACTCGTTCTCCTGCTCATGCTCGTGGATCTGCCGTGTAACCAAAGATGCTGATTTGATCGTGGCAAAGCGCTCCCTGTTCCGGTAGTGGAGGGCCTGGCTCTGGACTGAGTGGGTAGGCCGCGGCTCAGGCCTGGGATCGCTGTGGCCCGCCTCATCCCTTATGAATACATGATCCTTCCTCTTGTGCACGATGGAGGAGCTGGAGTTTATTGTGCTTCCGTCCTCCTGCATCATGACCAGCTCGGAGCTGCTGTCGTCCATGACCTCCTGCATGCTGTTGACACTGCTGCTCTGGCTGCCCGTGCTCACAGACATGCTTGGGATGGAATGGTTGCTGCCCAGGCTGTCCGTTTCCCTGTCTTCTTCATCTTCTTGGGATTCATTCAGGGGTCCATTCCGTGTCTCTTGGAAAAGGATCTTTTTCATTTTTCGGTACTGCAGGTTATTAAGATCACAGACAGCATCTTTCGTCCTCTGTATGAGGTCAATGAGGACTCGTAGTGGCTGGTCTCGTCGGACAAACTCATGCCGTAATAGTTCCACTGACGTTGGTCTTTCCTGAGGTATTTTCTGTAAGCAGTAATCAACGAACCTTCTGAAGGAGTCTGTCCATTCATCAGACTGTAACGTTGGGGAGTCATTCTGGGCAATGTGGTATAATGCACTCATTGCATTCATGTTGAAAAGGGGGGGCTTCTGTTCCGCTAATTCAATGCAGGTGATCCCAAGGGACCAAACATCAACTTTCCCATCATACTGTCCTTCATCCATTGCTAAGATCACCTCCGGTGCCATCCAGTAAGGTGTGCCCACAAAGGAGTTGGCGGGAGAGGCCATGGAGGCAGATCCAAAATCGGCCAGTTTCACCTGACCGGACTCTGTTAGAAGAATATTGCCTGCTTTAATATCCCTATGAATCAGAGCATGAGAATGCAGGTAGGCCAACCCCTGCAAAGCACCCTGGGTAATGGCAGCGATCTCCACTTCCTGCAGTGGTTTCTTATGAACTTCTAACAGATCTGACGCTGAGCCTAAGCAATATTCCATCACCAACCAGGCAGTGTGCTCTTTCAGGTAACAGCCTTTATATTCTATGGTGTTCGGATGCTTCAGTTGTCGTAGAAATTTTACTTCCTTAAGAATATCCTGCCATTTCTCATGCATCTGCTTGCCACTGTAGGACATTTTCTTAATGGCCACCACCTCGTTGGTATGAGCATTTGTGGCAAAATAAACGGCTCCAAAGCTTCCATGTCCAATTTCATGTAAACCAATAAAAAGTTCTTCGGGGTCATCTTTGTAGAATAGGTCAGCAATCTCTGGGCCCTTGGGCACCCCTTTAGGCATGATGGCCAATGCAGCGACCACTCTCCTTTTTGTCAGCCCAGTTAGATTTCCTCTCTCATTGACAGTTCTCTTTCTTTGCTTTTCTGTAAATCTTCAATACCTTTTCATATGTGGCACAAAACATGCTATAGTGCTCAAATTCATTTTAGCAGCGATCTTTTCTTTTATAACTTCAACCTTGCAGATTTCTGGTGCACCATTTCAGGATGAATTAATCCAGCACAAGGACACTTACTAATGGGCAGTGGCCTTGTGGTAAGAATTCGGACAATCCTGAAGGCACACAGTTCAAATTCATGAGGATTCCATGGGAGAAGGATGGGTACTCTCCTTCAGCGAGTTTAAATGATGTGCTGGAGCATCAATTATGGGTCAGTTCCGACTCGATGGTACACAACAACAACAACAAGGTCCTAGACCTGCTGTCACCGCCCCCGGGCCCTGCGTCGCCGCCGCTGGCTCTTCCTCTCGCACACTTGTTCCCCGAGTAGCTCTGGAGCGCCTGGTGCCTCCGGCGGGTCGCTGGGTCTGGACTCGGAGCACGGGGTCCGACTGCACAGAGTCCCCCGTGCCGCGTGCTCGCGCCGCTTCCCACTCCGGCACGCAGGACCCCCTCCGCAGCCGCGGGCAGCCACACCGAAAAGCTGATTTCTTAGGCAAGAAAGTAGGAGGATTAAGTCTCTCAAACTAAAGAAGTGAAAGGAGAATTTTAAGATTATGGCTCTTTGAACCTCGAGGTGTTCTAGTTGGGCTTGATGTGCTGCTTGGGTGATTTGTGTCTCAGTTTTCAGTTCAGAGAAGTGGGCATGGATGGAAGGTACAGATTCCTCCATCCCCAGACGTGCCTATTTCCCAATAAGTCTTACCAGGAGTTTCTCCTGAGTCCCAGAATTCACGGCCACACAGAGAAATTGGACACCCTGATCAAGCCTGAAGGGAAGGATATTAGGTGTCTGCTGACATCTCAGGGTCGGAGAAGCCCCCCTGTATGGACTAGAGCACTGGTATAATCCCCTGGTCTGTATATCATGAATGGGACTCTTATAAGGGAACTAGTGAGGCGGTCTCCTTATGTCACAGGAGGCTGGCTACCTGATCTCCCACTGAGACTTTGGTAGGTACAGGATCCCATAATCAAACTAAAGGGGAAGTAGTGTTCAAATGGCCAGGCTTAGAAGTACAGAAGCACGAAAACTCACTAGTATAAGGGTCCTCAGTGATCAGGAGTCCTCAGAAATTTTCCTGGGCAAGCTCCCAAAATGTCAAGAATTTCCAAGGGTTCCAGGGGCCTCTTTGAGTAAGAACTAGAAAGTTCTAACTTGGATATACAAGACAGACACCAATACCAGGTGAGAGCAAGAGAAAGAAACTGAGGTTTACTAGATGTTCATAACAGACTATGAAAGGGTCAGGATATGTTCTTTGCCAGCAGAGAGCTGATGGTGCATTCCTTCTAACAGATGTATAGTGATTTTCAACCATCTAGTTTGTCCTTTCTTTGAGTCTGTTGTTTGCCACATTCCTTGATAATCTGCTTTTATTGTTATATTGCCACAGTTTTTGTCAAAATCAGTTCTGATTGACCTTTGTCAGTGTTTCTTTGCCATTCCCTGTCAGTGGTATTCTGTCAAAGTCTCACACCCAAGTCAGGACGTTCTAGCTCTTACTTGAAAACACCCCTGGATTTCTTTGGAAATCCTCCTCCTTGACATTTCTGGTCAGGGTTAGAATTTTGGAGGACCCTCAATCACTGAGTATTCTTCTGTAGGTCCTCTGAGCTGAGTTTTTGTACTTCTATGCTTCTATGTTGTAAGATGGATGCTCTTGTTTTGGTGAGGGCCAATGGGAAAGTTTGATTGGGAATGACTGTGGAATAAATTACTTCAGTGAAGGCCCTTGGATTTAAAATTCGGTTGGAGACTGGGGAAGTGGCTGAACTCTGTAAAATGGGCATTCTTGTTTTGGTGAGGGCCAATGGGAATGTTTGTGTAATGAATGACCTCAAGGAGGGCCCTTGGATGTAAAATTCGATTGGGCCCAAGGGCCTGCAGCCTAGTGTTGTTATATTTTGGAGGAACATTCTTCTAAGTCATACAGCACTCTTCTGTCAATTTGCTGTACTGAAGTAATCTGTGTTTGCTATGATGCTGAGCCTTGTGCCATTGGGGTATCAAATGCCATACAGGTTGCCCATGGTGGACAGTGTTTGGAGGAGCTCCCAGTTTAAGACAGATTTGGAAGCAGGAATGGCATCCACTTCCTAAACCATATGCCAATGGAAACTCTATGAACTTGGAGAAACTGCAATAGTTATAGAAATACTTCTGGTCTTTTGTTCATAGGGTCGCTATGAGTCGTGTTTGACTCAACAACAATCAACAACAACAGCAACATGCTTCTAAGCCTGACCCTTTGAACTCCTCTTCCTCTAGATTGTGGGATCCTTTGCCTTCCAAAGTCTCAGTGTGAGATCACACTCCTTGAGGCAGGCTCAAGACCAAGAAGACACAAGATAAGCAAAAACAGAAAACCTGTTTAGCAGGCTCAACACCCAGGAGCAGCAGAGAGTGAACAGATTTAATCATATAAGGGAGATATGGTCCAGCAGCTGGGGATTGGCTGCCTAGTAACTGACCTATAGCTCCTTTTTCCAAAAGACTTAACTAACTAATCATAACGTATGTAAAAACTAGCCAATAATAAAGATATCCCAATCAATACCCTGTAAGCCTATATAAAAAGAGAATCTTTTGCCTTCAGATAGCCTGACCTTTGAGAGGCTTGTGATGCTCTGTCAGTGCTCCCATGAACAATAGTCTTCCTTGCTTCACCAAAAGAGCTTGTACTGTTTGTTCCTTTGTCTGGAGTTGCTGGACAGAAGGTCGGATTTCTGCAACATTTCTGGTGCATTGGCCAGCAAACCTGTCCACAGCGAGGCTGAAGATAGTGGGAAGAGTTGTGCCTCCACTGAGTGGCTTCCTGGAAGGGACCACCAGAAGGCAGCATCGAGCTTCAGAATCAAGCAGATCATGGGTTTGATTGCTGGGATACCCATGCTAGCAGTTGGTTGGGCCTCTCCCAGAGGAACATCACCTGCACCTACAGCTCCTAGGAACACTAAGGGAACAGTCAACTGAATCACAGTAAAGTAGTCTGACTAAGTAGAAGGCAAAGAAGGCATTTGACCAATGTCTGCTTCTCTAGAGTATTGTACCAGGATTGTACAAGAAATCAGAGTTGGCTCAGGAAGGCATTTTATGGGCAGGATTGTAATAACCTCTAAATGAGTGGTAAGGGACTGTCTGTGGCTCCACGGTTCACGCTATGAAGTCTGTGTGGGTTCTGACCTATGGTTCCATGGTGATATCATACAGCATAATGGTGATTCAATTTCTTCTGGGAGATAGACCTGGCCCTTAAAAGTCCTCCAGGAGTGCAGCCAGGGACACATCTGTGTGGTTTTAGGATTCTGTGGCTTTCACCCTTTGTCTGAGTTTTGCAGCACCACACATGGAAATATTTCAAATGGGAGGGAGTTAGAGTACACCTACTAGTTTAGATCGGATGTTGAAAACTTCTAGAAGGTATGCAGTGGGGACTACAGAATTAAAATGAGGTTGAAAACCCTCTGCCAGGTAGACTGGCCACCAGAGGTCAGTGTATACCATGAATTGGTCTGGCACATTTGGACTATAATTACAGGAAGCCAGGGCACCCTGATCAATTTCCCTATATAGACATCTGGTTACAACCCTTGTGGCTAAGAAGCCAAGTGTCAAAAATGTTAGTTTGGCAGTGGCCTTCCATTCACCCAATTAAGACTCTGAAAATCTTAGCCCCTCCCCAGAGGAGAAACTAGTACTATTGCCACCACTATACGCTCTGTCTTGCCCAAGTCCTGCTGCCCTAAACTCTACCACTCCATCAGATACAAGTTGCTTCTTGTATCACAAAGTGAAAATGAGGGAGACAATGAAGCACACCCAACAATCTAGATGTCCCTCCATGAAGTTATATGACCAGCTATTATTGGTAGAAACAGAGAAACTCTGGAAGGCCAGAATATGCTCATGTATCAACCATTTACCACCACAGATTTGTTGAATTGGAAACATCATACATACACTTTCTCATACTGAGAGACTTCAGGTGCTGATTGACCTCATGCAGGCTATTTTTAAAACCCATAATCTTGTATGGCAAGATGTTGACCAGCTTCTCCTAACTCTCTTTAGCACTGAGGAATGTAGAAAAATCCAACAGGCAGCACTCAGATGGTTGATAGAGATGGAACTAGCTGGAACACAGGACCCTGAGGCAAGGCCTCACTGACACCTTCCAGATGAAGTAATGAATGGAATGCATATAATGAGCAAGATGTTCTCAGGCCGCAGGAATATTGGGAAGCCATTTTTCAAAGAGTCAAGAGGGGAGGACAGAAAAGGCTACTGATATTAACAAAGTAGGTGAGGTATATCAACATCTCATTGAATGCCCAAATGCTTTCTATGAGAGACTATGTGAAGCCTAGGGGCTGTATACTTCTTTTGATTCAGAAAGCCCAGATGGTGAATGCAGTCTTTGTGAACCAGAGAACCTGAGACATCTGCGGAAAACTTCAGAAGTTAGAAGGGTTTGCACCTCACAGTTACTTGAAATTGCAAATAAATGTTCTGCCCACGAAATGCCCCTCAAAGGAGATCCAATCACACGTCTGAAAATTTCAAGAGCATTTATTAATTCCACATGTGGAGACTTTCTCCCTCCACAAGAGGGTGGCTATCGAGGGAAAAAGCCCCGAGCCCCACCTCCCAATTGCTTTTATGGCTTTCTTTGGGTGCCCTGTCGGAGCAGGGGGATTGAGATCATGGTTGGTGGGTCGGAAGATCAGTCATGTGGGTCGGCTTCTGACGGGCTGGCTACTTTGCCTGCCTTTACTCCCTCTGTGCCACGTAGACACTAGTTAATTCTTTACTTTGCAAGGACAGACAAGACTTTACCCAGGACATTCGTGTTTGCCCTAAGTTAAGAATTTTTATGGCCCGCTTCTGCCTCTAGCATTAATGGGAGTTTATAAAAAATGGGGGTTTTGCTGTCCCTTCAATAAAGTGTTTGTTAATAAAGACCTAGAAGAGAAACGGCAGACAGATGTATGAAAAGGAAAGCAGATTTAATAGCGCAGCTCTCTCCCAAG